GGTCCCGAACCGAGGCACACGGCCTGACGGCTCCGAAAACCGGGAACCGGACTCCGAAATGGGCAAGATGGCCTACGGCCACCAAATGTAGCCTACGGACATTGAGAGATGGTCTACGGGACCTCTCCCTCCCCTCAGGAAAAGAAACAGAGAAAACCGAGTCTGGTTCGCAAACCGAGACGAGGCACAGAAGAGGATTCGGAAGTCCGGAGGCAGGGCTCACGGCCGCGACTCTGAAACTTCTGAACAAGCACATTATGCAACATCACCAAGCGCTCAATCGGTAACGTCTGAGTCTTAAGGTCGGTCAAAAATGGGGTGTCTACACTCACTGTCGTCGTAGCAAAGGAAATATGGTTTGGTTGGACTGTCCACGTCACTGTGCATTACTATCCACTCCTTCCTGTACTGATTTGGCAATTGTGTCCCTTGTCACCGTTGAACACGATGTTCGAAATTTTGTATTACAAAGTCATCCCTCATCATTCCCACACATTCATACCAGTGCACAAATCAATGTCGCTGTTATCACACCGACAGTGGAACGAGAACAGAGAAACATTGGTACCTATGTTTGACGCCAACAGTGCAACAGTCCACTGATATGCTCAAAAAGAAAAACAGAGGGATCACACACCTTGGATGTGGGGAACCTTTGATGGGCTTTTGACCATACTTTCTCTCGGAATAATCATCCGATGGTATGTTGGCCAACTTCACACTTATTGCCGGCACTCTTACCACTCTCTTCACCTTCAATTTCAAAAAAAAAAAAAAAAAAAAAAACACTCAATGAAATCTATAAAATACAATGATTATAACAACAATTAACTATTTGATAATGTGAATAATGAACCCTACATTTTCTTAGAACAATGGCATCGCCCTGAGGACGCACCGCACTTGGCGACCGCATCGTCCATCGAGCTGCACTTCCTCTTGGACAGCGGTGGCCGACCAGCCGACGACGGGTTCGTAATCTGAAACGCCGACGACATCGAATGCTGTAGGCTGTCGGTGTCTCCCGTCAGAGACGACATGAACGAATTCGGCAGTGACGCCACTGCCGCGAAATTGATCATCTTTGGTAACTCCTTTCGATCAATAGATCCGTTTTTCACTTGGTGATTGTGAGGAAGATGAGGCAATCTCTGAATTAGCTTCGGACAGTAAACTCTAGGAACCGAACCTAGTTTTTCCTCCACCGACTCTGTTTCATGGGTCCTCTGTTGCTGTTGCTGTTGGTGAGGAGTCACAACACCTCTTCTGAAGCAATCGTGACCAGTTCGAGTTCGATCGAGAAACGAAATGAACTATAACGTGAACCCACTCACTCTATTTATAACGTGGGTTTCGAAATTCAGGTTGTGAGAAATCCGAAACGGAAATCCGAAACCATTTTAGTGTGCCTTATTTCGTGTGTTCACGTCACGTACGAAACCACGTTCTACTTCTATGAGTGTTACAAACCTATTAAATTAAAAAAAGGTATTAATGTGCTTTTCCGATCAACGTGACACACAAACACCCATTCACCTTCCCTATACAAACCCACACCAATCAACTAATAATACTAGTAGTGGAAAAACAATCAACAAACAAATTAAGGGATCATCCAATCACCAAGAAAATATTTAGGACCTTATGAATTATAAGTCCACAAAATGGGATTTAGTGGTCAATTCCCCTAAACTTTATAAATATTAATAATTATTAAAGCTAGTTTTGGTCACGCGGTGTGGTGTGGTGCGGTGCAGAGGATTTGGGATACGTGCTATAACTTCACGCGTACCGTCACACTTTGTCAGATTTATTTTGGTTATATTTTAATGATTTAAATTATTTATATTATAACATAAAAAAAAAATTAATTAAATAAATATAATCTCATAATCAAGTCAAATAATAATCTTAAGAAATTATTAAAATTATATTAATTATTTATTTTTTTAAACATAAACGTGAATTTATTATAAATTATAAATGTTTCATTAATTTGAATATTTTTATAATATATATTCAACAAATCTTACCATACCAACTATTTGAACCATTGTCCTCCTGAACGAGTTCAGATCCTCTCCTTTACTCCCCTCCTTCATTTCTTCTGTGCAATGGCTGAGATTGAGCCCAACAAATCCAACGGCTATTAAAAACAAAACAAAACAAAAAAAAAAAATTCAAAATTGGAACTAAAATGTTCCCGCACACTCTCTCATCTCTCTCTCTCCTCCATGGCATTACCCTTTTACTTCTTTTCTTCTCTCTCTCCTCACACTCTGCCACTCCCAACAACAACACCACTCCCTTAACTACTACCAAAACTCATGACCTGGATTCAACCAGATCATGCAAGACACCATCACTAACAAGCAGATCACCTCCCCCACCACCGTCGCCGCCACTCGCTGCCTCATCTTCCACGACTCAATGGCTACAAAAAAAAATTAAAAAATTCAAACAAATTGGCACCCCCTCTCTCTCACCCAGCCTCACCCTCACCCCTTCTCCGACGACTTGTTTGGGAAAGCTTCCTGCAAAAGATGATTGAAGTTCAAAACGTCCACACCCATTGCTACCAAGAACAAACATTTCCACCACCATGTGAAGTTGTATTTCAGTGGATGTGGCTTGCACTATTTCATTTTCCCCTTCTTTTTTTTTTGTTGGCACAAAATAAACATAGTTGTTTGATTTCAAATCTGGGTTAGACAATGCACTGCAAATGTTTGAAGAAATGTGTGACTGGATAGTTGTTTCATTTTGGTTAACAAGTTTCTCATACTCTGTTAAATTTTTCTGATATAAATGTTTGAACAAATGTTAATTTTTTCTGATGTTTCTGAGATTCTCGGATTGATCTGTATTCAATCCAGAACTATTTCTAAAATGTGATAATTTCTCAACGGCTGAAACAAACTTCTTTAGATGCTTTATGTACTCCGGATAGATCTCCAAGTCACAATGATTTCCTCCTTTAATCCATAGTGGTTCATATTTTTCTTTACAAAGCTCCTAAAGCTGCTTACCATGGGAGCAGTCCACAACAGCATCTGCAGTTCCCAGCAAGCACCAACAGACAAAAACAGAGTGAAAAAACATGTCACCAACATTTCAGTTCCAATTTTGAGGCTGAGAAGGAGTGTGTGAGGCTGTATAGCTTTGGGCGGGAAATTTTACTTTTCAATTTCCATTTTTTTTTATAGCCGTTGGATCTGGTTGGTCAGATCTCAACCGTTGCATGAAGGATTTGAAAGAGGGGCTTCAAGTAGAGGATCCGAACTCCTCCTGAACACCCAATAGCCTGTCTTAATCATGTCCAAATCTATAGACCACCCATTGGATTCATTTGGCATGTAGGTTAGGTTTTTGATTTTTTGATTTTTTTTAAGAATAAAAAATCTCGTTTGAGAAAGATTTTTTAATTTTTTGTGAGATAAAAAATATAATAATTATATGTTAGATGTGATTTTTTTTCTTATTAAATTAAAAAATTTATTTTATCTTTTTATAATTAAAATAGTCCCAACCCTTCTTCCCACCATTTATGGGTACCATCATCTATCATTATGTACTATAAAAACAAATTATTTCATTACAAATATAAATTCCATCAAAGGGGGTGGCACCAGTTGCATTTGAGGATATTGAATTGAAGAAATTGAATATATATATATATATATATAATTTATGTATGTTTTAATTTGTCATTTGTTGATCTTGAAAATTCGTCCTCGGCTACTGTCATTGTCATTTATCATCTTTAAAATATTGTTTGAGCACCTTAAACTGATTGGATTATCATTTGTTATCTGTAGAAAAAATTTCAAACAGCTTTCTCATTTCAATTTTTTTTTTCTTTTTTCTTACAATCAACTTAAACTAATTGGACTGTCGTTTATTACCTCTTCAGAAAATTGAACACTTTGCTTGTTTACTTGGTCCTGTATGCTAAAATTTAATATTTTATTTTATGTCCAACTTAACTTAATCTAATTAAAGTTCGTCAAGTAAATCATTTATATAAAAAATTAAATTAATTGAAAAAAACTCAATTTTCAAAAAACTTAATCCAGAAAACTCAAACCAAACACACTGAAAATATGTTATCTGTAGAAAAAATTTCAAACAGCTTTCTCATTTCAATTTTTTTTCTTTTTTCTTCCAATCAACTTAAACTAATTGGACTGTCGTTTATCACCTCTTAAGAAAATTGAATACTTTGCTTGTTTACTTGGTCCTGTATGCTAAAACTTAATATTTTATTTTATATCCAACTTAACTTAATCTAATTAAAGTTCATCAAGTAAATCATTCATATAAAAAAATTAAGTTAATTAAATAATGTTAACTATATGTTTGAATCGGTTTTATATTAAAAAAATAAATAATCATACTCACCATTTTACATATAAAATTGATTCCGAACATAAGGTTACCATTTTCTAATTAATTTAATTTTTTGTATAAATAATTTACCCGACAAACTTTAAAATATGAAGAACTTGAATCATTGAATTTGATCTCAAAAATGGGCCAACTGTTAAAACTGGACGGTCCAGTCCATATTTATAAACAACAATGATACATCCCCTAAAATGAAATAGCTCTAACGAGCTCTAATGACATGAAAAATCAACAAAACAAAAAAAAAAAGAGGAGAGAGAGAGAGAGCGAGCTAATTTAGAGCTCTAAAAAAGGAGCACTAAACCAGCTTTAATGAGCTGAAAATTCACAAAAAAAAAGAAAAGAAAAAAAGGGCAGACAACCATTAGATCATGGGGGGCGAGCTCCATATTTAAAGCTTCCAAGCATTTTTGGAAAAAAAAAAATAAAGCACAAATATTACAAAAAAACATTTTTGTATTTGTAAATCAGGGAGGAGACATTTTAACTTCTTGTACCAAACCAGCCCAAAACATCCAGAGGACAATCATAACTATAATAGAATGTGAAAATGATACTTGCATGCAAAGTTTTTTTGATTAGTTTCATAAGAGCTTTTAATGGATTCATCTAAATTACCTATTAGACGGAGGATCCTTTCTGGAGCTGAAAATTCACAAAAAAAAAGAAAAGAAAAAAAGGGCAGACAGCCATCAGATCATGGGGGGCGAGCTCCATATTTAAAGCTTCCAAGCATTTTTGGAAAAAAAAAATAATAAGGCACAAATATTACAAAAAACATTTTTGTATTTGTAAATCAGGGAGGAGACATTTTAACTTCTTGTACCAAACCAGCCCAAAACATCCAGAGGACAATCATAACTATAATAGAATGTGAAAATGATACTTGCATGCAAAGTTTTTTTGATTAGTTTCATAAGAGCTTTTAATGGATTCATCTAAATTACCTATTAGAGGGAGGATCCTTTCTGTCTAGATTTTGAATTAGGGGATATTATTTGAGTTCGTAGAGTTCATCATAAATCTCATTTTGATGAACCAAATTCAAGTTTACAATAAAAAAAAATTAAAAATTAATGTTTTTTTAAAATAAATTCAAATTTCAAGTGAATGTTGATTTATCTTTAATTGAGTCCATTATGAGAAGAGGACAAATAATTTTATTTTTATATAGTTTAATGTGCATATAAGCTTAATGAATCAAATACAAGTTTAAGATAGAAATTTAAAAAACTAATATTTGTTTAAATAAAGGGATTTTTATTGATAAATCCATTTTAGGGTTGTTATAACGCATTAGGTCCACAAATGAATATTATAACCTGATTAGTCCCATAAACTTTTCTTTTTATTCCATTAGGTCCATTTTTCTAATTTACTATGTTTACTTGGACTATTTTGCCCTCATATATATATATATATATATATATATATATGTACAGTGTTAATACATATTACGTGCCTGTTTCCACGCTGATTCAGTTTGGTAGTTTCTATTTTACGCTTTTCATCATCATTCCATTTCGAAGGGATACGTTTCTATTTTGCATGCTTGTTCCAAGGCTTGGTTGTGCTAGGGTTTCATTCTTGCTGTTGTAGTTTGGTTCTGTGATTTTCGAGTGAAGACGACGAAGAGGAAGGTGTTCGATTCTCACATTTGCTGGACTGTAACTAGTTCAAATCAGTTCTTTTTTCTAGTTTCTGGACGATTGTAGGATTGCGTGATTAAGGTTAGTATCAATTTGGTTATGAATACATGTTCATTCGTATGATGGATCAGATGCTTTGTTTTTTCAATTATATGCAATTTACGTGGTCATGTGGAGGGGAGTTCATTCAGATTATGTGAAGAATGTTTAGTTCTCATTTTACTTTGATGTATCCATAATGAGGCTCTGTCTGGATGATATAATTCAGAGTATATGTATCAATGTGAATGTTTATATTTTGTTAATGTGGAATATGTGAAGAATGTGGATGCTCTCATTTTAAATTGATGTTTGCTTAATGAGACTCTGTGTGTGTGATATAATTCAGAGTATATGTGTTAATGTGAATGTTTATATTTTGTTAATGTGAAATATGTGAAGAATGTGGATGTTCTCATTTTAAATTGATGTTTGCTTAATGAGGCTCTGTGTGTGTGATATAATTCAGAGTATATGTGTCAATGTAAATGTTGACTTCTTGTTAATATTGTGTGAAAATTATTGATGGTCTCATTTTACTTTGATGTTTGCTTTATGAGGCTCTGCGTGGGTGATATAATTCAAAGAATATGTATATGTATCAATGTGAATGTTCACATCTCTTAATGTGAATTATGGATTTAGCACTTGAACTGTACATATAGTCATCTATTTTCTGCACAATGTGAATGTTCATATCGATTTTGATTACTGTTCGTTGTTGTGGTTATGTGTTTTTACAGGAGATGGATACTTTTATGATGTTGGTGTGTACATATGGTTGCAGTACAACAGTAATAAATGTTGTCCGCGCATTGTGTTATTCTCGTTTGGTAGAGTGTTTGTGTGAAAAGTGGGATGAGTTGTCTGCTGGTTCTATTTCATTGTTCTGTAAACTACCTAGGATTAATAGGTGTGATTTGGACAATGAGGAAGAATTTCAGAACATGTTACTGCTTGCTAAATCAATGGGGGTACAACATGTAGAAGTTGTGGTCGAGTTGAAAAGTGATATTGGGCAGTCAAGTAGCTAGGGATCACTGCGTATGGGGGTTGAGGAAGAAATTGATGCACTACGGAGATTTTGCCACCATAAGGAAAAGGTGTTGTTGTCAACCCCGTGGGCAAATGGTATTATGCATGTGGGACAACGGTTTGTTGGAGGTGCACAAGAATTTCGTGAGGTTTTATGTAAGTATGCCATCCAATGTGGGTTTCAGTTTACGTACGTTAAGAACGAGACAACAAGAGTTACTACTGTGTGTGGGCTGCGGGAGGAGAGAGGCTACTTGTGGGCTATACATTGTAGAGCACAACGAGTAAATAGTTTTTTCTACATCAAGAGGTTTAGTGATGTGCCTAGTTGTGGTACGGATGTCCGAACATCGAAGAATCCGCGAGTTAGTTCGGATTTGGTGTCGAGTACCATATCTGAAATTGTGAGGGACAAGCCGTTGACTCAGCTGTGTGATGTGGTGACTATTTTGAAGAGGGATTATGGGCTAGATG